ACTGTCCTAGATCTTTCGGCCTTTTCGGAAACTATTATATATTTATTTAATTTTTATGTCACCTATATCCCCATAGAAGGGACCCCCCGGGCGGCTTATAGATCCTCCAAGCCTCCATGCCTCTCAGTTCCCGGAATTCCCAGCAAAAGTCAAGGCGATTAAGAGAATTCTGGGAGTTGAAGTCCACGCGTCTGGAAGCGGCCCGGGTTGAGGAACGCCGGGGCAGAATGGCTGCTATGCAATCCTGAGAATACCAACCTAGAAAGGGCCTAGATTTCCAGTCTAGAATGGAATATAGGTAGCATTGTGTGTTCCGTGAGGAAAAAAAATTGCAATACATTCAGTCGTCTTAGACATTAAGGATAAACTAGTGTTTAAACATTCTCTGCTGGTTGGTTATCTCGTCCCAGGTGGGACACGATCTCTAGTGCTGTTATGTATGAGGGCAACAGAACACCCGATGAGGAGAAATTTCTCCACCAGAAGCTCGAAACTCGGAGACACATTTGTGCAGAGAAAACAGTGGTTCTGCTGTTGGGACCTTCCAGATATGTTAGGGGTGCAAGTGTGTAAATCAGGGGTAGTCAACCTTGGCTCTTTTATGACTCGTGGACTTCAACTCCCAGAATTCCTGAGCCAGCATGGCTCAGCTTGGAAACCTCTCCCTTTCCCCTCAGCATGGCTGGCTGAGGAATTCTGGGAGTTGAAGTCCACAAGTCATGAGGGGGCCAAAGTTTCCCTCATGCTGGCAGAGGAATTCTGGGAGTTGAAGTCCACAAGTCATAAAAGAGCCAAGGTTGACTACCCCTGGTGTAAATTCTCAGCCAATCTGAATTCTCAAAGCTACAGTCCCAACTCAGCTGCAGTGGAGAGCAAGGAGATTCAACCCGAAGGATGAAGGCCAAGAAGATCAGGCTGGAGAAGAGAAAAACCAGCTGAAGCACATGACACGACAGCCGATCACAGTTTTGAGCGGTTTTGTCCAGAGCAATGGAGAATGAAAAAGATCACCGGCTGACGAAGGAAGGCTGAAAGGGATCAGCCAGAAGAGGTTATCTCAGATATGTTGTAGGTGTCCAATTAGGAGTGTTTTTGCTCTGTCCTTTTTTTTTTCTTCTCCCTCCCTCCCATTGGAGGGCTTCTTATTTCCAAAACCGATAAAATCCCAAAGCAATAGCAAGGCAAGTGAAAACAGAGGCTGAAATGAAAAGGAGAGAAAAAACAACAACAGTGAATGTTTTTGGGTTAAAAAGTTTCATGGAATTTGCCTTTGCCCTTTGATATTAAAGAGATTCCCTGGAGATCTTCAAACAGAGGCTGGATGGTCGTCTTAGAGCTGTTAAGAGGACCCAGCATTAAAATGTACAAATTGGAAAGGACCATATGGGTCTCCTAGTCCATAGGTCAGCAACCTGTGGCTCCGGAGCCGCATGTGGCTCTTTGAGCCTTCCCTTGGGGCTCCCAGCCTCCTCTGCCATTTGCAAAGAGAGACAGAGACAGAGAGACTCAGGAATTCTGGGAGTTGAAGCCCATGAGTCATAAAAGAGCGGAGGTTGCCTATCCCTGAGCTTGCTGGAGAACAGCTTGAAGCCAGCTTGCCAGGTGAGCAGAAGATTGGAGAGAGGGAGAGAGAGAAAGAGAGAGAGGGGAGGAGAGAAAGAGAGAGGAAAGAGAGAGAAAGAAAGAAAGAGAGTGGGGGAAGAGGACTAGCAGACCAAGGGCAGAAAGAGAGAGAGGGAGAGAAAGAGAAAGAGAGAAAGAGGAAAGAGAGAGGGAGAGGAGAGAGAGGGAGGGGGGAGAGGAAAGATCGAGGGAGAGGGAGAGGAGAGAGAGAGAAAGAGAGAGGGAGAGAAAAGAGAAAGAAAGAGAGAGAAAGAAAGAGAAAGGGGGAGAGAGAGAGGAAAGAGAGAGAGAGAAAGAAAGAGAGTGGGGGAAGAGGACTGGCAGACCAAGGGCAGAAAGAGAGGGAAGGAGGGAGGGAGGAGGGAGAGAGAGACAGAGAGAGAGACCCTTTTGACATCTAAAATGAAGATAATACTGCATATATCCATATACCTATAATAAAGGTAAAAAAGGATATATGCAGTGTTATCTTCATTTTAGATATCAAAAGGGTTTTGCGGCTCCCAGTGTTTTGTTTTCGGTGGGAAATGGGTCCAAGTGGTTCTTTGAGTGTTTTGGGTTGCCTACCCCTGTCCTAGTCCAAAGCCTTGCTCAGGGCAAGTATCCACTACTAAGCCACTCCCAACAAATGTTCAACCAACTGCACTTGAAGAGCTCCACCAGTGTTTGCAGAGGACCACAGAGATAACTTTGGAGAAGTTACACAGAGGAGGAGGAGGAGGAGGAGGAGGAGGAAGAAGAAGAGGAGGAAGAAGGAAGGAGAAGAAGAAGAGGGGGAGGGGGAGGAGGAGAAGAAGAAGAAGAGGAGGAGGAGGAAGGAGAAGGAAGGAGAAGAAGAGGAGGAGGGGGAGGGGGAAGGAGGAGAAGGAGAAGGGGGCAGGAGGAGAAGAAGAAGAGGAGGAGGAAGAAGAAGAGGAGGAAGAAGGAGGGAGAAGAGGGGGAGGGGGAGAAGAAGAAGAGGAGGAGGAAGAGGAGGAAGGAGAAGAAGAGGGGAAGGGGAGGGGGAAGAAGGAGGAAGAGGAAGAGGAAGAGGAAGAGGAAGAAGAAGAAGAAGAAGAAGAAGAAGAAGAAGAAGAAGAAGAAGAAGAAGAAGAAGAAGAAGAAGAAGAAGAAGAAGAAGAGTAGGAGGAGGAGGAGGAGGAAGAAGAAGAAATCGCTTCTCAACCAAGAAGCTTCTTCAGTTCTGACTGGTCAGAACTAAATCCTTCCATCCCCTCACCATCCAGTCAGAACTGAGGAAGCTTCTTGGATGGGAAGTGAAACGTCTTTTTCTTCTTCCTCAAGGAGAAAACACTCCAGTTGCCTTCTGAAAAAACACCTGAGAATCTCCACGGCATAGTATGGAATGGTGAAGCCCTTCAGCAGCCAGAGAAAATGACGCCAGTTTGTTTTGGTTGCTAAGCATCCCACTTCGGAGGATGGCTTTTAACGTGCCAGGCACATACCTGCTAAGTAACGGATGGTTTCCAGCTTATTCGACTCCATGAGTGTTTTGAGAGCTGCAATTTCAGCGTCAATCTTATTGTTGACTTCTGTAAGGGAGCTGCTGGTGCTTGAATCCTAGAAGGACACAACGGCATCATTTGGCACCCAAAAATGAGCAGGGCAGTTGGCAGAGACAGGAAATTTTCTCCCTGTGGCTTAATGTGGCATCAACATCTTTTGTAACAGAATAACAGAGCTGGAAGGGATTTGGGAGGTCTTCTAGTCCAACCCCCTAAAGCAGGAAACCCTATAACCAGGGGTAGGCAACCTTGGCTTTTATGACTTGTGGACTTCAACTCCCAGAATTCCTGAGCCAGCCATGCTGGCTGAGGAATTCTGGGAGTTGAAGTCCCCAAGTCATGAAGGGGCCAAAGTTTCCCCCATGCTGGCTCAGGAATTCTGGGAGTTGAAGTCCACGAGTCATAAAAGAGCCAAGGTTGCCTACCCCTGCCCTATACCAGTGATGGCGAACCTTTTAGAGACCGAATGCCCAAAAACCGCCCCCACCCCAGCCCGCCCC